GGGGGGGGGGGGGGGGTGCAGGGGGTGCAGGGAATATCTGGTATATAAAAGAAGCGGAGGGATGGGGGGGGAGGAGGAAGACGCGGAGGAGTAGGAGGAGGAAGAGGAGGAAGAGGAGGAGGAGGAGGAGGGGGAGGAAGAGGACGATCAGGGAAAACTAATATAAATGACGGGGGGGCCACGGGGGGGGGGGAATTAGTTTATGACAACAGCGCAAACGTAATATACACACTACACTTCCTCCTGAAACTGACGAAACACAGTCGAACATATGAAAACATCAATGATTTAAGCTAGTGGCAAGATGGGGCTTTCGAAATAGTCCCAACATCATCATCGTAGCAAGGGCTGAAAAACGTGCCCTGCGGACCACAGGGTTCCTTCGCGCAGTGAAAAGATCAGCGCGAGCGTCGCCCTCCCCCTCCGCAAATTCTACTGCCATGCCCCGAGCGCGCATCATCTGCGGGACAAGGGCGCGCCGTCGAGCAGATCTGCGAAGCCCCGGGTCGCGGCAGACCTCCTCGCGCCACTTCGAGACTTTGCGCGCCAGCCGTGTTTGGCAGCGCGCGCGCTCATCCACCCCTGGACGTCCTCGCGACCGCTGGGGCCCAAGAGCTGACGCGCGTCGATGGGGGCCGCGCGCGCTGGCCAAAGCGACGGCAGAGACTCGCCCGTGGGAGCTTTCCGCGATAAGTCGCCGGAGTAGTCGCACCCCCCGCTGACGCCCGCCAAATAATCCTCGGCTGGCTGAACTCCAGCGGGGGGGCGCCCACCTCACTGCAACGCTCTCGGAATTGACCCCAGCCACCCTTGCCCGAACAGTCTGCAGCGCCCGCAGGGGGGCTAGAGGCTACGCGAAGATGCATCTCAGTGAGGGCGGTCGCCGCGTCGTGACTGACCCTACTCGCACTGCTCAGGAGAGACCGGGAGACTGCTTAGTGCTTCAACCCGAAATTCAATCTCCCAAGGCCCCGCCGACGAATGTAGCCGACTTGACGGTCGCCCCGAATTCAACGCCCTGACAGACAGGCGGCCTGTCTGTCAGGGCCTGTCACAGGCCTCGCTGCGCTGCTGGCTGCCGGTTGAAACCGTCTCCGCCAGCCTCGCGCGCGCTCGTGACTCGTCGCCTCCGCCGCGGCCGCCGCCTCTGTTGCCTGGGGGCTGGCGAAGGAGGGCTCGCCCTTTTCGTGCTTCCCGGGCCTGCTTCTGGATCTGCGACCCCCCCTCGAGCCCTTTGCTCGCGTGCTCGACCAAGCTTGGCGCGCGTCGCGCGGTGGGGTTCACGTGCTGGCGCCCCTCGAATAGATTCGCCGGCGACCCCGCGGCCGCTCCGGCAATGCCCCCGCGCTATCCATCTCGCACCCTCTCGGCGCACTGGTACTCGACTATCTGCAATCGCCTCGCCACATTCTCGATCGCCACCAGGTTCGACAGGTCTAGCTGATCCTTGCTGCCCGATGATAATCCTCTGGGCCAGGTTTGCGGCGCGCCATGAAGCGGGCCACCCAGATGGCCGTCCGTGGCCCCTTCGCGGGCCACAGATCCATCGCACAATCGCCGATCGTTTCCGCGACGCTGGCCCACGGCCTGAAACGCTCGCCCACTGGGTTGGACTTCGCCGTCATCACTCTGGCGTCGATGGCGCCAACTCGTGCTCGCTTCTACCGATCGACCGTGGCACGGGGGACGCTCTCCACTGTCAGGATTTCTCCCCCAGAGCGCGCCAGCCCCCTCTTGTCGACGACCGCATTTGGGGCAACCAAAGATTCGTTTCCGATGGCGACGGTGGCGTCCAACTCTGTGAACAATCAGACCCAGCAGCGGCGCCATCGCCACCGCCAAGCGCCATGCCGCGACGGGGTCTGCCGCCTCCTCCATGACCCCCTAACGGCTACCCGGTCCGGCTCCCAGCCTTTGGCCGAAGTTGTAAACGTTGACCCTTTTCAATCTCACCAGGATGTTCCCGTCGGACCAAAACGCACGGACACCCGTCACGTCTCCGTTCAGCGGTCCGGAGTCCTCCTCGTGAATGTTCGCGTCGGGTGTGTAGATGATCCACTGCGCCTCGGCCGCGTGATCGACCAACACGCGAACATGCCACAAGTCGTCGTGTTGTGAAACCGTTTTTTTTTTTTTCTCTTTCCAGGCTTGCACTCAATCGAGGAGCAAAACGAACGGGGAGGATCCGGCCGACGGCAATTCCTCCCGCGAAGGCAACCAAGACGAAACCGAACTGCACCACGAAATTTACTTGGGATGTGGTCCCGCCGGCGACAATGCTGGCCTTGAGCTGCTGGGCAACCAGGCGATCGGGCGCGGGGCACTCTCTTTCGTTGGAGCTCACGCACTGACATTGGCAGGAAGGGCGCTCGTGAATGGGTTCAGCCACCGACTGCCAAAGGAGGGTCAACAATCTGAACAAAAAGTCGTTTGGCATGTGCATCCAGTGAACCACCTCAAGCAACACAGGCTACGGACCATGTTGAGGCAACGCGTCCGCGCACTAGTATTAAGCTGATGCTGATGACGACGATGACGATGACGATGCCGATGATGGTGATGAAGCCGATGAGGATTATGATGTTGAACATATGTTGATGATTATGATGCTGACGATGATGATGAGGAGGAGGAGGGAGAATACCAGTGTAAACCCAAGACGGGCCAACGGCGTTGCAATGCACACTGCAAGTTGTTTTCTACATATACCCCTGCACGATGTGAATGCTCAGTGAGGGGAAATTCCCGATTGGAAGACAACCCTTTTGAACATCCTCAACGGAACCAAAACGTTATTCCTGGGACGTCAACGCCACGAATCAACGCGACCGTTGTGTTCTGGCAGTCCTCAGCCATGCCAAAATACCGTACGTGACTGATGCGTCCTGAGAGTCGTAGACCGTAAACTGTTCCAGAACACCAATCTTGGGACTACAATCGCTGGACTCCATGCACATGTTGCAAGCGTTTAGAACCAAGTTGCGCGGTGCTAAATCGAGAACCACATTTCAAAACAAGAAACGGCCGTCCCTCCGTGAAAGTGTTGCAAACCTGGGAGAACGTATGCGATGCGCTAATGTGGGAACCACGCTTTGAAAACGACTCGCCTTTTATCAATGGAACAGCTACAGACTTTTGAAAACGGTCCGCCCTCCATCTGTGGAGCGGTCGCAAACTGTCAAGACGAATGAACACATCGCTGAAACGAGAAACGTTTTGAACGTGCGCGGCGCTGGAACGAGAAACACTTTTTGAAAACGGCCCGCCCTCCATCCGTGAAGCTGTGGCAACGTCCAAGCCTCAAAATCGTACATGGCGCAGGAGATCTCCGGCGAAACGCCCGGCCCGCCCTACGGACACTGCGAAAAGGGACGGGTAAGTTACGAAAAAGGGGATGGCGGAGGAGAAAATAGCAAGGACGAGGAAACAGCTGCAGCGGGCGAGGGGGTTGTGCCAGACACACGCTGATTCAGAGATGGCGCTGAACTGTCGCGTGCCCCCCTTTCTGCTGCGCTGGTTCGCAGCCGCGGTTCTTCCGCATGGAACTGGATACGCTCGGTTGGCGTCGAAACGATAGCGCGCAACACCGACATCCGAATAGCGCGCTATCCCCGAAACGAAGGCCTCCGCCGTGCAAGCTGTCCCTGTGAGGCGATTTCCCTGCGAGGGATCCTTCTGAACACGCTGCCCCCCTGCCAGGGCTTCTTCGGTGCACGCTATACCCAAGGTGGGGATGGCGCGTAACAAGCGGACCAGCGGCGCCACATCCCACGCTATCTTTGCAACGCCAGCCTCAAGCTTTCTCTTAATGCATCCAGCGACTCCCATAGCATTGAGCGCTTCAAGTCTTGCAATCCCAATCGGTCTGCCGACCGCCAGCGGGCACTCGGTAATAGGGTCGGCTGAATGGCAGAGGGCAGTGCACAGAGAGTAGCAGGGTGTACCCTCGCCAAGCTGCCGACAGCCAGCTCGCTGAGCCCGCGGCGCAAAGAGGAGAACAGTAGCCTAATAACTCATCGCCTGCAGGTGGAAGTCACTCACCACCAGCAGTCCAGCAGCCCCACACCCACGCTTGAAGATGCGGCGGCTAGAACCTAGCCACAATTTCTCAGCGGGTACGCGTGGTAACTTGACTGGACATGCCGTCAAAACGCAGCAGTTTAGAAACGGCAGCACAATAATGACCCTGAAGCCTGAAGCCATTTAGCACTGGGCCTCCCTCGAGAATGTCTGGAAAACACGACAAAGCCAACAATGACCTGGCGCAAACAATTCTTGAAAAACATCTGCATTATGATGGGTCCTGGGATACGGACGCACAGGATAAAAAGAGAAGGAGGCAGGGAATATTGAGGCCAGAACAACACAAACAACGGATGGCGTCACTTCAGCTGGATTGCGTTCAAGTGTCTGGGCTCACCCAGACCCCGCTCCTCAATCTTGCTCCTTTCGGGAGTTGCTACAAGTGCCCATGGCCCAAGGTGCCGCCAGCCTTTAACGCAATTGTGGAGTCCCCGGGGTCCTCTGAACTTTGTGAGGGGTGCTCTGGAGACCGTGGGGGCTTCCTTGGAAATCCTGGGGGCACCTTGGGCAAAGGGCATTTCTAGCAACACCCGATCCGTATCTCTTCCAGAATGCTCCGTATCATCGCCACTTCGATGGCCCTCGCCTGGCCCTTCAGATTCCAGGCCCCCTCCACGAACTCCTCGGTGCTGAGCTGGCCGTCGCCATTCTTGTCCATGATCGTGAACGCGCTGACCATGTCGTGGATCTCAAGCCCCATTGCAGTGAGCCACTCCTGTACCTTCTCCCGCTGTAACACCTTCTCGAGCTCCTCCTTGTCGAGAAACCCGTCGCCATTGACGTCCGCGTTTTGGAAGAACACCTTCATCTTCTCGGTATTGCTCTTGATCGCACGTTTCGTTTCGTTCGCCATGATGCTGTCGTCCATCGACAGCACATGGAACGTCTCGTGAAGGAACACACCTGTCATCACCTCGGCCACAAGGGGAAATATGTAAGAACGTCATCATGGCTGTAATATGTAACATGTAAGATGTAAAAACATGTTTAACATATGTACTGTGTGAGAACAACGCACCTCGATCACGGCGAAGCCGAGTGCTAGCTGGTGCCCCACGCCGAAGATCAAATACCATTCACTGACCTTGACGAGCTCGCGGGTAATGCCGTACCAATTGCCAAGCAACATTTCGAACATGCTCAACAATGACTTGCTGAAGGTCCCGTAAAGCTGAAATACAGCCTGGCGGTCTTCCATGGGGTTGTCGGTGTTGGTCCAGAAGCTCTCGAGCAAGATGTTGAGCAACAGCGCAAATACCATCTCGACTAAGAACAACATTCCTGCAGACCTTAGCGGACCCTGGAAACGACAAATCCATGTATTGTGCTTTTCGTGTTTGTTCTACTTCCGTCGCCGTTTGTTTTCTGGTTGGCCCGCCGTCCTTCGCCGTTTCGATGTTGGCGCAATTTGATTGCACGCTCCTGCAAACACCCTTTCATTTCTCCGGTCAAGTGCAAGATTTTCGGAACCGAGTTGGGTTGATTTGCTGGACTTTGCTTTACATTGTTTAGCGTTGCTTGGAATTGCTTTCGATTGCTTCGCATTAGTTTGGATTGCTTCGCATTGCTTTGCTTCGCTTGGCTTGGCCTTACTTCTGTTTACATGTATTGGCATTGCCTGGCAATGCCTGATATTGCTTTGCATTGCTTTGCTTGGCATTGCTTTACTTTACATTGGGTGGCATTGCTTGACATTGCCTGGCATTGCTTGGGATTGCTTTGCATTGCCTGGCACTGCTAAGCACTGCTGGGCAACCCTATACATGACTTGGCATTGCTTTGATTGGAATCGCTTTGCATTGAACTGCTCGGCAACTGGACAACCAAACAACCTGGGCAACCTTGCAACCCGGCAACCCTGGCAATCAAAACAACCGGGCAATCGGGCACTGGGCAACCCGGGAACTCGGCAACTGTGCAACCAGCCAACTGGGCAACCCGAGGAGGGCAGGGCAGCACGGGGAAAGCCAGGCAACTGGGCTACCCGAAGAAAGCCGTGCAGCCAAGCAACCCCGAGGAAGGCCTGCCAGGGCCAGAACGGCTCTTCCAAAAAATAAGAACCCTATCGGCAAGGCCTACGTGATGGGAGATAAACGACCCACTGAGCTACAGACCAAGCCAGCGCGGAGAAGCTGCTGGTGATCGAGGCCACCATCAAGTACAATTTTTCGAATGCGTTGACGAACCTGTAGGAGCAGTCAACATCGAACCGGGAGATCGGACCGAATCGGACTGTGCATCGGACCGGGCTCGATCGGAACAAAGGCGAAATCGAATCGGGTCGGCCGCGCCAAGATGCACAACAACTCCCGTGCTTCATCGGGTCGCATCGGACCCGTAGGATTCTGATCGGATCGAGACGGACCCTGACCTGATGACTCTCACGAAGCGCAACAGCCTCACGAGCCTCGTGACGCGTATGAACTTAGGGTCTACGGGCAAGAACATGTCCGAGACCCGCTCGACGTACCAGAAGATGACCGCGGCAATGTCGATCCACGACCTGAGGGGGAACGCCAGGGGAGACCGGCTCAGGAGGAGAGCCATGGACTCGCCATCGCTCGGACGTCCCCTCCCTGTGCATTTGTCGGTTTCGTGCGTGTTTGGTTGGCCCGATGGTCGAGGATGCTTCTCGATGGCCCCAGCCGAGGGAAAATGCACACGTCCGAGCGATGCCAAGCGGAGCTGGAGCATGCGATGCATCGCCGGTAGATCGGCGATAGGCCCCCGCTGGCGAATCCGCAGCCTCCTGATGAGGGGTGGGCCATCGGGCCCCCGTCGGCGACCGGTGGGCGATTGAGGGTCGACGTGTCCCCCCCCCCAGAGCCTGTCTTGGCGGCGCGCACAAGGGGTTGGAGGGAGGAGGAGGAGGAGGAGGAGGAGGAGGAGGAGGAGGAGGCGGAGGCGGAGGCGGAGGCGGAGGCGGAGGAAGGAGGCTGCTTCTTAGAAGGCGGCGGCCTTACATCTATAGAGAAGGCCCGTGGCTTCTAAGAAGCATGGGTGCTTCTAAGAAGCCCTCCCCCCTCCCCCCGCCCCCCTCTGCGCGTGGCTGGCTCTCTCCCCCCCTGACATTGCCCGTGAAGACCATGCGTCCAGCAGTAGCTCCTTCTGGAGGACGGCCAAGCGCCATACCAGCTCCAGGGTGAACAGTGCGCCGAACATCACATCGACGGCCACGAACACCTTGTCGGCGCCCGGCCACGCCTTACTAGCAGGCTCGGTCGCGGGGTATCGCCCAAGGTCTTGACGGTAAGAGGCGTCTATGCCGTCGTACTGCGCTTCTACGGCCATCATCGTAGTGCTCGCGAGGATGACGATCGACCAGACAAGTTCGAACGTCGGGCTGGAAACGAACTCGTAGCAATACTTTCTCTTCTCGGTTCTGGTATCCTCCGCGCCGGTGAAGATCTCGCTGCTGCGGGTCATCCGATCGTGGAGGGACTCGAGGTTCTTGCTGAAGGCCCTGCTGAGGGACTTGCCGAAGGACTTGTGAATGCTGTCCCCCATGTCCTGCGTCGCCTGGGAGTCCACCCCGCACGATGGGTCGCGGACCGCGGACCTGAGGGGCAACTCCTCGTCCTCCTCGTCCTCCTTCTCCTCCGTCCCTCTTCCTCTTCGGGGGGACAGGCTCAGCGGGGGAACCATCGACCTAGAATCGGAGATGCGTCGCCGATTGACTGGCGATGTCCCCGACAACAAATCCGCACGCTCCTGGGCGTGTTCAGGCCATCATGCCCCTATCGGCGATGCATCGGCGATCGTCGGCGGTGGACAAACCTCCCTTTAGCACACCACCCTTTAATGGAAAAGGCCTGGGACCGAAACCAACAGACCGACCCGCAAAAATGACGGCCGCGACGACCTCTCGCGAACCGAAAACGGCCAATTCCTTGATCGACGTGTCAGGGTAGGAGGTCTGTGCACCCGCGAGATCGGGGATCGATATGTCCCCCCTGAGCTTTGGTTGCGCCCTCTGTCGTTGCCCTCTCTGTCAATGCCCTCCTCCTCCCTCCGCTCTTGCCCCATGGTTTTCGGGTCATACCTCTCGGACGTGGGCAGAACTGGGTTTAGTGGGACCTGGTTTAGTGATGTGTACTGGGGGACGCCCCCCCGCCCCGTTCCACTAACTGGGATTGCCGTAACAAGAAAAACAGACCTGGTTTAGTGATTCTGGCCAATTCAAGGGCTCCAGGGCCCTACTATCGGGCCAGGCGAAGGGGGGGGGTGAGAATCAGCTCACGGGGCTGATTTTCCCTGCGCCTCCCGGCGCCGGGAGGCGGCCACGTATCGAGGAGTGGGCCCCTCGGTGGGGCCGAAACCAGCCGCACGCAACACATTTCTCACCCCCCCCTTTCCCAATCGCCCCCCTTCGTCCAGCCCGATACTGCTAACCGGGTCCCCTTACCTGGGGTCCTGGCTATGCCCGAACCTCGGCTCTCCGGCGGCCGTTCGGGACGATCCGGGCGCCCCAGGAACGCCCTCGACGGGGCGCAGCCGCTGGGCAGCATCCTGGGGCTGGGAAGCTGCCGAGAACCAGCGCAAACCTCCCCCTCAGCCGATTCGGCTGCACGCAAGGGGGAACCTAGGCTTCGGTCGGGCATGTCCTCCTGCAGGCGGATTTCGGAAGAACACCGAAGAAAGAGGCAGACCATACCCAAAAATAGCCAAACACAGTCGAACAGTCGCCCCCAGACTGTGTGTTGACCGCCTCTGAATGTTCCTCCTGTAGAGGGACGTGCCCGGCTTGAACCTGGGCCAGCGTGGCCTTTGCCGCGCGACTCTCTCTGGTGCCGCGGGGCAGAGTCGCCTCCGCGCGCCCCCGGGGGGGGGGGGGAAGGGGGGGGGGAAGGGGGGATGGGGGGGAGGGGGGGGGGGGAGGGGGGGGGAAGGAGGGGGGGGAGGGGGGGAGGGGGGGGGGGGGGGGGGGGGGGGGGGGGGAGGGGGAGGGGGGGGGCGCAAAAATGCCGGGCGGGCGCCCCGTGTGCCCCGCGCCGCTTGCGCCAAAGGTCACTCCGGCGAGGGGGCCCCTCTTAGGCGCGCAGCCGGCCTGTCCCCAGGAGGCCGAACACGTGTCGAAAACCGCTCGTATCAAAGACGGGCTTCATGCTGCTCCCATCGTGCTTGCAGGGGCCTCCTTGAAGGGGTCCGAGTAGATGGGGTCGAAGGATCGCGCCGCATCGCCGATACGTCGGCGACGCATCGGCGATGCCTCGGCGATGCATCGGCGACGTCCGCATCGAGCCGCATCGTGGAGAAATCGGGCTCGTGGAGAAATCGGGCTCCGCATCGAGCCGCATCGTCGATGCATCGGCGATGCCTCGCGATCCTCCGACCCCAACTACTCCGACCCCATCTGGGAGGCCTAGAATCGTACTTACAGACAAGATCCCAGGAATAATTTCGAACACCCAGAAAAAGTATCGAAGCAGTGTCGAACGAGCATCGCCTCACTGGGCCCGACACGTGAAACAACATCAAGTTTCGGTACTTCCTTGGTGCTCGATGTTTCTGCTGGTGGTTAAGGCTGAAATGAGTTGGAACACCATACGCCGGGCTGTACATCGGCATGCTTTGGACAATTAAGCGGCGATCAACAAGGGGGTCTTGTGCGAGGTTGCGCAGCGGCCTCACGCCGCGGCTTGCGCGGGTCGCCAGCAAGGCACGCCACATTGGAGCCGAGGGCGCTTAGGCGCGACCTCACGCGGGGAGCTTACGCGACAATGCCCCTTTTCGCCACTCGTGTTCAAAGCTGGGGGGCAGTCCTGGACAGCACTCGTTCAGAGCGTGTCATGAGCAGGGGGCACTTGTGTCTTCTACAACGGCCGGGGAACAACAACCCTGACAGAGGTTGTGCCGCGTGGCCCCGCCCACACTTGTGAACACACGCCTCTTTAGACACACTCTGCGCTCCCCAACAATCCGCCACAGTGCCGCTGGGCAGGGGAGTGGGAGAGAGGCCCCAAAAGAGGCCCCGAGAGGCCTCCCACGAGGTCCCAACGAAATCCAACAGGCTTCAGACCCACAGCCCAGGCACGGTGGCAGGATGGGTCGAAGGCTATCAGATAAGATCCCCCCTTAGAAGACTCTTAGATGGGGCCGGACTAGATGGGGTGGGAGGATCGCGTCGCATCGCCGATACGTCGCCGATACATCGGCGATGCATCGGCAACCCGGCGATGTATCGGCAACGTCGGCGATGCATCGGCGACGCCGGCACTGAGAACATCTGGCTCCACATCGAGCCGCATCGGCGATACAGCGGCGATGCGGCGCGATTCTCCGACCCCATCTGCTCCAACCCCATCTAGGAGGCCTAGAGGCACGATGGCGGAATGGATCGAAGGCCATGAGAGGAGATTCCCCCTCTACTTTGGAGTCCCGAAACGGTGCGGTGACAGACCGTGCGGTGACCTCGAAATCCCCTAAGACCTCACCGCACGGCCCGTCAACGCACGGTGTTGGGACTTCGGACGCCCCAGTCGCCCGAGACGTCCTCGGAGAACGACCCGACTGTGCGGTGACCCCGAATTCTCACCGAGTCCCCCGAAGGAGGAGGAGGAGGAGGAGGAGGAGGAGGAGGAGGAGGAGGAGGAGGAGGAGGCGGGGGAGCAGGAGGAGTAGGAGGAGGAGGAGGAGGAGGACGAGGAGCAGGAGGAGGAGGAGGAGGAGGAGGAGGAGGAGGAGGAGGCCGCTGGAGGGAGGTGATGGGCCTCAAAGTCACCACCACACGGTGTGGTCACTACCCCGCTTGGGGGCCCCCGCTTGCACTGCTCCCGACGGACCCCGGCGCGCGCGGCTCCCGCCCGGCCTCGCCCGCCCAGGCCGGCCTCACCGAGGCGCAGGAGCTCTGCCTGCTCGGCGGCCCGCCCTCCGGCACGCCGGGCGGCGCGGGGGCGCTCGGGGCCGGTCCTGAGGGTCGGCGGCGAACGCGGGGGGGGGAAGCGAGACGCCAGGAGGCCTCCTCAGAATCGGGAGCGGCCAAGAGGGGGGTGTCCAAGAGGGGGGGTGCAAATCATGACCGGCGGCATGTGCGCGGCCCAGCGGGCGGGCCAGGGACGTAATGAAATAAGAAGAGGCGCCATGAAATCTGGGGAGATATCATGGCCCCTCGCCATGATATCCACCCCCCCCTTAGTCATCACCCCCCTCTTTTCCGCTCCCGACAGAAGGCGGCGGAACGTCTCAGAAGCCGTCGTGCCTCTGGGGAAGGCTCAGGCAGCTTCTCGGAGGGCGGGGGGGCTTCCGAGCATCTCGGAAGGCGGCGGTCCCGAGGATCGGGGGCGAGCGCGGGGGGGGGGGGGGACGCGAGGGGGGGCGGGCCTTCTACTTGCCGTCGCTCGGACGTCCATTTCCCGTGCATTTGTCGGTTTCGTGCGTGTGTTTTTTCCCCATATCCTAAGATGGGGTTCTTGTTATTACTTGGACGCCTCCTACTCCTCCTCCTCCCTCCTCCTCTTTTCTCCTCCCCTCCTGTCGGACTTACTCATACTCACACTTGCTCATACTCAGACTTACTCATACACAGACTTACTCATACTCAGATTTACTCATACTCAGACCTACTCATACTCAGACTGACTCACACTCAGACATACTCATACACAGACTTACTCATACACAGACTTACTCACACCCAGACGTACTCATACACAGCTTACTCATACACAGACTTACTCATACACAGACTTACTCATACTCAGGCATACTCATACTCAGACCTACTCATACTAGACTTACTCAACACACATCAGATTTGGAGGATGTCTCAGGCGGGGCGCTCGTTTCAGCACCCCTAAGAGGAGCCGCCAGGGGTGATTGCACGGGTTCGTTCGCGGCCATTTTGTGGGGATGTCTCAGGCGGTTTGCCTGTTTCCGGGCTCAACATCCTTCGCTTGGAGAGCAGATTGTGAGGATGTCTCAGGCGGGGCGCTGGTTTCAGCACCCCTAAGGGGAGCCGCCAGGGGTGTTTGCACGGGCCCGTTCGCGGCCATTTTGTGGGGATGTCTCAGGCGGTTTGCTTGTTTCTGGGCTCAACATCCTTCGCTTTCGGAGCAGATTTGGAGGATGTCTCGAGCGAGGCGCTCATTTTCACCCCCCAGGTGGGCCAGATTTTGAGGATGTCTCGATCGGTTTGCTTGTTTTGGTGGCCAGGCTCGTGGCCCTAAGGGGAGCCGCCAGGGGTGGTTGCACGGGCTCGTTCGCGGCCATTTTGTGGGGATGTCTCAGGCGGTTTGCTTGTTTCTGGGCTCAACATCCTTCGCTTTCGGAGCAGATTTGGAGGATGTCTCGAGCGAGGCGCTCATTTTCACCCCCCAGGTGGGCCAGATTTTGAGGATGTCTCGATCGGTTTGCTTGTTTTGGTGGCCAGGCTCGTGGGCGCAGATTCTTCTCAGGATGCCACAGGAGGCTCCAACAGGCTCCAGGAGGCCCCAGGAGACCACATGAGGTCCCAGGAGGCATCAGGAGGCCACAGAAAGACTCAAGAGGCCACAGGATGTCCCAAGAGGCTCCAGGAGGCCCAGGAAGCTCCAGAAGGCCTCAGGAAACCACAGGAGACCCCAGGAGACAACAGGAAGCGCCAGGAGGCCTCGGAAGGCAACAGGAGGCCCCGAGAGGCCCCAGGAGCAGGAGGCCTCAGAAGGCAACAGGAGTGGCTCCAATCCCATGTGTTTTACGTATGCTCCTATCGATTGGGCCTCACCTGGA